ATATTATGCTTAAAAGGTCACGTGTTTCAAGGCTTCAAGGTTTTTGGCCGTGAGCAATACTTTCATTTCACTTCTGTGTTTCATCGTCCCTATGTTTTTCAACAGGCTTCTTTTTAAATCTTGAAGGGATGATTTCTAAAGTTTTTTTTCCAATTTCATTATTTTTTAATTTTGCTATGCATTCATCTTACTTTATAGTGTGTACACTTTTCATGATGTGTGTGACTAATTTGTTAATTAGTTTTGTTTTTTTACTTAAGAAAAATAATTTGTTTTTAGTTCATTTTAAACTTTTCTTTTTTGAGAGTTAAATAAAACAACTTTAACAATTCATAACTATCAAAGTATACCAATTAATAATAAAGAATAAAAATATATTATCTCAGTTAAAAATTTAATAACAGAGTTATTAAATAAAAAATTAAATTATTAACTAACTGAAATAATATGTTATCAATTTAAAAATTTAATAATTGAGAGTGAGATAGTTATTAAATTATCTCACTCTGTTATTAAATTAAAAAATGAGATAAGATTCTTATTTATCAATTTAAACAATAACTGAGTGAGATAATTTAATTATTAATACAATAATAATTTTATTTATTATTATTGCAGTTATTAAATTAAAAATGTAATAACTTAATGTAATATTATTTATTCTCTTAGCTATTAAATAATGAAATACATTATTGAGTTACCTCTATAATGGTAAGAAATTTTTAGTGTTTTAAATTACTATAAGAAACAAAAAAAAAAAAGGTTCCTACTTAGAATTCATAAAATTATGTCAGTTCTGATGCACCATACTAAATCTGTCAACATATTCAGCCATCAAATTATCAATGGAGATGTGAAAATAACAAGACCCCAATGTCAAGAAATGTTTGTCTAGAAAATTTTATGCTATAAGTGATATTCATTTCAGAACAGATTAATTTAACTTAAAATTTGCTAATTTTATGAAAGTAAAGTTTCAGAAATGTATATTTTAGCGTTATTTTTTTGTTTTTTTTTTTTAAATGAAAAAATAATTTGTTTACATTTCTCTATAAAAATTATAAATGGCCATTTTGACTAGTTTTTTGGAAGAACTGACTAAAAATCATTCAAATCTTTATATGAAATACTTTGCAGTATTTTTTTTCTGGAATTAGAAAATTTAATCCTTTTTAGCTTTCAATTGAAGCTAGGAGAAAGCATCAAAAAAGATTTTTCCTATATGAAAAATACATTTAAACCTTAGGTACACAAATTTTTGGAGGTACCTAAAAGACCAGTCTCATAAAGTGTTTAAATTAGAGAATGTGTGCTTATGTAGGCCTACAGATAGACATGTGTGAAAGTCATGATAGAAAAGTAAGACATTGAAAATGAATGTTCCCCAGTGTGGAAACACTTTTTCTCCACGTGCGACTACATCTTATTGCCAGAGTTTGAAAAGAGAAATACCACTGCCTATGTTTAGGTGTAAGCAGCGTCCCCCTAACATCATTTATTTTTACGAAAGTCAAGTGAGGTAACCCACACAAACTACAAACTCTCACCAATAAGAAAGATACAAGTTTGTATTATTTTTTTTATTTTATTTTTTTTTTTTATATCAATTAAGACAATGAATAACTGGAAATGAAAGTGAGTGAGAAAACTAGCTTTAGAAGTAACCAGAAACCTGATCCTAAACAGGAAACAAAGAATAAAGCACTACTTCTGTTCAAAAGAGCAGGAAGGAGTGTGACCCAGATAATAGGTGAATCTATCTTAAAAGAAAAAAAAAACCCTTTTAAAACACCATTCACCAAGGATTCATTCATTTTGAATGAAAAAAACATTCTGCACCAACCTCCACAAGGACAATTTTTGCTATGCCTGCATTTGTGAGAAAATAAAGGCTCTGCAGTATTTTAGAATCATAAATTTTATAATTTATCTCAGTGTTTTAGATGAGGATTTTTTTTTTTATATGCTTTGCTATTCATTCTCATTTTGGTTAAACTCCCAACTTTCTTCAAGTGTCTATCATCATACCCTATAAGTTTTTTGAATTTTAAACATTTATTTTAAGTTCAATTTGTGAAGGTAGATCACTCTGATTCCACTTTCCATGCTTAGTTAATAGTCCACAATTTTTTTTTTTTTTTTTTTTTAAGACATATTTACCCTGTACAAGGCCCGGGAGCCACTCGAGGTAGAGGGTTACAGAGTAAGAGACACAGTTTATGTGGATATGTAGGGAAGAAAATGGTTAATCCTAGACTTGAACAGGTTAAGATTATAGTGATCGGGGGAAACACCCTCTTGAGAATCTGTTCCACAGAGCATCAGTTTACATGAAGACGCTACTCAAGTGGAATTTAATCTCATAAATGGAATACAAAGGGAATAAGGCTAGTTCACTACAACATGCGTAGCATGGCAGGTCTTAGCTGTGAAGGTTAGAAATGGTGGCACTAAGGAATGGAGTTCATTTTAGCACTTTCCATGGATATAGCAATACATCAGCGAGAGGCTAAGAATGTTTTGTCAGTGAGAAAGGGGTTGTAAGGTGGAAAATAATTTATCACCCACAAGAACAAGGAAATGCTTTTGAACTATCAATGTTGGAAAGTGAGGATGGGTCTGTTCTGGGCCATATATAGCAGCAATATTCCATCTTCAGCCTGATGTGTCTCTTGTAGAGAATAGCACTAGGAGTCGGGTACTTACTGGAGTGGTACAAAGAACCAACCATTTTTCCAGCATCTTTAGCAGTGGATTGGGCACTATTAAAATAGTTTCAGGAAAAACATGACGGGGAAGGGGAGAAGTGTAATGGCACCATGGATTGTATGTATGAGCTCAACTTGAGGTCTGGGTTGAGCTTAAGGCCCAATAAGTGCTCAACTCACAGGACCTCTCTGAGGGGACATCCATTCATGATAGTTCAGGGTCCAATCGACGATCTTATTCACCTTTGCATCATTTGTCTGTTTCTTCCGCTGAACCAGACTATATGTCTGGTAGTACAGAACTACCATATGTAGATGTGCAGAGAAGTAGTGGGGTATAACAGCTGATCTAGGAGACTGGCATAGCAGACATACTAAGTGTCACTTACCTACCCAAGACAGATATTACTGAATTTTTTTTTTTTTTTTTTTTTTTAACCTATGGATAAGGCTATTATAGTTGTATTTTCTTCATGTTGTGGATGAAGTGTGGTAGGTTTTATTAGGTGGTCAATAGAATAGCCAAAAGCACTTGATATATAGAACATTTGAACAGTTTTTACATGCTTCAGGTCTATAAAAAAAAAAAAAGCTTAGGTGCAGTACCTCATCAATTGTCTTTAATGAAACTTGTATAAAAGAGGAATTGCTACCCAAATGTAGACAGACAAGGAAATCCTAATCAGGGAAGCAGATCAGGCTGAGAACTTTTTTGTGCGTGTGAGATCATGCAAGTGAAAAAGCACATGTTTATAATATTTGGTTGTAGAAAAGTCTTAGGTTTTGAGATTGTATACCTACAGCTTATTAGTAGGAATTCCAGGTTTTGTTTTTTTTCCTCACTGAAAGCAATGAAGGATGATAAAGAATCTATGCTAGTCTGTATGACTTTTGCTGGTAATGTAATGGCTAACATTGACCCAGAAAGAGAAATTGAACAGACTTTGTTAAATTCACTTTGACACAAATAACCTTTGAAAAATGTACAAATCCATTTCTTCCCCATCTATGGGTTAAATAACAGGGTTGACTAGGCTCTCTTACCTTGAGGTGATAACCAGCTTAGGAGATGGAAAACTCAATTCAAAAAACAACCTGAAAAAAGATGGACTCCATCAAGCTATCTTGTGCTATACATACCCGTTGATATGGCTGCACTACATGTGATGCGCGCATAGCCCTAATGGGTTACTGGACTTTTGACATGACAGAAAAAAAAAAAGTGATATCATTTTATGAAGTCCATTTGATTACATGAAGTGTATGAAGAATAAAGGACATTAATTTTCAATCAAGTTGTAGTTTGCATCCATGCCACAGTGTATATTTTAAAACTACTTTAACTAAAATGTCATATGTAAGTAATTTTGTAGTTGTATTAATTATATCTTCTGTATGTGTAAATCAAGGATTTTTATCTAAAAAAAAAAAAAAAAAAAAATTCTGCTTTTTAAATGATTAAAAGTAAAAATATTCAAAAAAAAAAAAAAAGCTAACATAAAATAAGAATAATAAAAAGCAATTCTTCAGACATTTGTTCCACTTTAGTAATGAGATATTCCGTTGTTGAGATTTATTGTAAATAAAATACAATTTAGGTACAGGGCCTAAAAGGGGGAAAGGGTTGAAGCTGGTTGTCATTTACTATCTTATACCTAGCTAATCCAATTCATGACCCATTCTCTGGTTACAAATTGCACATCCACCATAATACTGCAATACTCTCAGGGGACTTACAAAAACACATCCCCATGACATAAAAATTTAATGAGCATAAAAATCTGTAAATGATATGCAATGAGGTTGGGGATGAGCCTAAAAAAAAAAAAAAAAAAAACTAAAAATATCAAATAACAAATGAAATAACTGATGTTAGTTGGACCCGTCAAACCATCAAAAGATTTAAGAGAGACCACTGTATTGTCTTTTGACAAAATCAAGAGGCTCTCCTGCTAAGGGAAAGGATAAAATAAATATGGCCATGGGGAAAGAAAATAGCTGATCCAGTTGAGATGAAAAAAAGGGACCATAAACAAATTGGGGAGGTTGGGAATCTTGACTTGGATCATAACCAAAGGAGCCATGAACAATACTTACTCATTAACTAGGTACACAAAAAAAAAAAAAGGGGTCTATCCTAACCAGGATAGGACTACACAAGAAACCACTCCCATGTGGGGGGAGAAGAGCTGGATTCATACCCTCCCAAAAGTGAATATAATGAATATTAGTGAAACTGGAACTCGGCTCTCTGATTTCCAATTCCAAACTATAATCTATTTCACCACCAAGCTTACAACAGCTGGTATTTCCAAGAGGTCACCCATGGTACCAATCAGGCTCAACATTGCTTAACTTTGGTTATCATACGAGAACCAGTGTTTCAATGTGAAGCCATAAGTCCAGAATGTTGAAGATGAAAGTTAAAATATAAATTTATCCATGGAGATTTGTAAATGGCAATTCTTCTTTTATGTGCTTTATCTCTTCTGGACATGTAAGATCATGGCTCTCCCCAACTTCCTTTCCTTCATAGTTCTAAGCAATATTTTATCCCTTTCCTATCACTCTCAGTTCTGCTACTAAAGCTTTCCCTCAGGCTGTCCTGTGAGTGTCAAATTCTCCAAGCCCTCTTTTTTCATTGTGTTCTAGAAATTTCAAATATCTCTTTCTGATTCTAAGTGTTCATTTTCTTTTTATTTTCATTAAGGCTTCCTCATTGCTTGCATGTCCCAGCCATAGTATTCTCAGCATCCTTCTATAGAACAAAGTTTTTGTTGCCTTAAGCCTTCTATGTGAGGAAATTGTTTAGCATTCACTACCATTACAGCGATAAGTGAATAAATATAATACCTACTTTGAATGAACTTCAGTTACCAATGAGGACACAAATATTTTTTTTGGGGGGGTATGCTAAAAACTGGGTTTACAATTTAAAAACTTGAGATGAAATTACCTGAGAATTATAACGTTACATTCTTTGGGCTGTGAGTTAAAAAAATTCTCAACAGTCATGTATTTAAATGGGGACATTAAATATCAATTGTAGATAATTGATTTTGCAGTTGAGGTGCTGAAAAGTCGACTGGCCCACTTTCCAAATATGACTAAGTTTTTTTTTTTTTTTTTTAATCCTGTCTTGGTCAGACTGAGAACTTTTCAACACTGCAAAGATTTAGGAGCCAGGAAATGAATATCAGCAGGAGTTGTATCTTGTGAAAGGCAGACCTGATAAACAAAAACTATTAATTTTTATAACAAGGAAATTTACAAAAACAAGACTTGTATCAATGGAATGCAGGGAAACCTGTTACTAGCAAAAGTAACAAGAGAAATAGTTTGTTTTTAAATAAAGATAAAAATATTGACTAACCTGCATAGTATATATAAATTTGACGACTAATTTTTTTTTTTTTTTATTAAAAATTTCTTAAAAACATTAATAAATAAAAATCACAGATGAAACTATGTATAATTTGTTTGACATATACAGTCTCAAAAGTGTATTGGATAAATTCATTTTTTTTTTTTATATTATATTTCTTTTTCAGTCTTAAAATCTTAAGTAGGCTATCTTTGTAAACAAATTCTATTGCATTTTTGATTTCCATGTTGATAGGTTTACAGTGAAGTCATGTTGATCACTAAAGTTAAGGATTTTTTGCCCAATCAGTACTTAGTGTTCCCAAGCAATCTCCCATCATTGTAAGTGACTTACTACAATCCAAACTGTTTTAGCTTTAAATAACTGAGAAAGAGTTGATAAACCATAAAAAAAACAAATCACTCAATCATAGAGGGACCAGTAAGATTCTTTTTGGGAGAAAAATTCACACAGGATATTCCAACAAATGATTCAGTGGTTTTCCACTAGATAAGGGGGACACAGTCTTAAACCTTGTCAAAGGACAAATCTTAAGTTTCTATTAAATCTAAAGTATATAAAGTAATGAGAAAAAACTATTTAAGTTAAAATATCTTGTTTTGGCAGTGAAATAATTTTCTCAAAGAGTAAGGATTTTATAACTTGAAGTTTACCTTCTTTCCAGTTTCTTGAGGCCTCTGTTCTCTTGTCAACTTTAAACTGAGACTAAAATGCCAACATTAATGGGGAGGGGGGGGAATAGTGATCCTATTTTTGCATGAAATGACCATGATGAATACCATTCAAATGTCAAGAGAAAATAAGCAATGTGGCTTTTGATTTTTTTTTTTTTTAAAAAAAAAAAAAAAAACAAATGCTAGCTTTAAAAGGTGTTTATTTGTCTGAACCAAGTTGTTGTGTCCTCACAATTACTCAGGAGTAGATGTTCTGCTTGGTCACCAAACAACACTAGGACAGGAAGCCGAGATAAGATTGGTATAAGAATGTTCTAGATCACACAGATATTGAAGTAGACCATTGGTAAATGGATGACAAAAGTTACCACAGGCCAACCAATATCTATCTCGGTTGTGTACAGAATAATTACAACTGCCTCTAATGAAAGCTCAATTCATAATATACAGCCACTTAGTGTTGAAGAAGGAAAATTCTGAAGCATTATAAATTACAAAGGGTTTTAATACTGTATAAGAATTCAGCTATTGAGCTCAGCTCCAAAATTACCCAAAAGAAAAAGAAAAAAAAAAAAAAAAAAAACGAAAAGGACACAGTTTAATAAGCGTGATCTTTGACATAGAGGGACTCGGCTGCAGCAGCAGACCCACCACCACCTCCATATTTTCCCACAGAGGCTGCACCATTGGCCTGAAAAGAGGGCAGGGACAAACATTAATAAAAAGGAAAAAAATAGAAATAAACATACAAAGATGCTCAGTTATTTAAAAGCAAATTTCAAAATTTACTTAATGAATTTATGAAATTCTAAAGAATGAATTAATATGCCATGCTAAAAACCTTACAATTCATAGCAATTAAAAGCATGCAATACAAATATTTTAGTTATTAGCAGTTGAAAGATTTTATTGAAATGCTTCTAAATGTTATTGAAGTACAATAGCAATTTAATTTATACCATTTATATTCAGACTAATATCCTCATTAGCATCATCATCACACTGTTTTGGCTTTTGTGCCCTCCAGCTTCAGGTGCCTAGCCTTGTGGATTAGAGCTGTCATGAATTTGGTGACAGTAATTGTAAGCCCAATCCCTGGGCTTGCATTAGTACAGACTCAGTGGAAACCAGATAAACAATAACTGAAACTGAGCAGTATTGCAAAGAACAAAATGAGGTATTCCTAGGCAGTGGAAGGAGAACGATCTAGCTCTGTAAATTAAAGTGTTTAATTTGAAATTTTTCAAAGGTTACCCAGATTGGCAAACATCTGAAGAAGGTTGGAGTGTATAACGGTTGAAATGTTGTGATAATAGCAACGAAGATGTGGCCATTAGTCCAAATGTAAATAATGATAACTTCACCCAAGAAATTCTAAAGAAAAAAAACACAAAACTGCATCTTTTTTTTTTTATCAGAATTGAATTTTCAAGAGAAATTTGGTCTAACTTTTTCAAGGCTTTACACACATGAAAAAAAATTGTTAATTTAAAATATTGAATGCTATAAATAATGTTTATGAAATTTGTTTCTATTTTTTTAGTTTGAAACCCTAAAAAGAAAAAAAATTAAGCTATATCTGTGCAAGTGAAGTTTAGATTCATAAATTGAACAAAATGTAATTTAACTGTTTATTTAACTGAGTAGAAAAGATAAAAAAAAAAAGCAACAACAACACTTACCTTTGCTCTAACCATAAGTTGTTCCTGTGCTGCCTTGATATTCTCATCTTTGCCTTGCCAGGCTTTCAATACACTGGCTTGCAGGGCACGTCCATAAGAGAAGGTGAGAGCCCAAGGTTTAAGGAGTGGGCAGTTGTTAATGGCATTCAAATTGATGGTAGCATCCTCTTCAGACTGACCACCAGACAAGAAAGTGATACCTGTGGATTTAGGGGGAAAAAAAGAAGAAAAAAATATATACACACACACAAAGTGGTATCAATAATTCTGTACTGTAACTGTATAGTTCAATGGAAATGCATATGTAGCTAACACTCATTGCTACCCAGCCTATTGAGTTAGTCTACCACTAAGCTTCATGCTATCTACTCTTGTACAATTATCATTATTATTGTCGTTTTTGTGAGATTTTGTAATGTGTTGGAACAGGCCTGCAATCTTTACGATGACTTATAAATTCAAGCAATGTTCCTGCAGCACATTTTGCATGAAGCCTGGCAAAGTTGTTTTAGAGTCCTTTGAAATGCTTAATCTGATTTTTAGTGAACGTTTTTGATGCCAAACAGTTTCTTGCATCACGTGTGTTTCAAGGTTGACTGATTGCCAGCTGAAGATGAATGTTCAGGGGTGACCAACAAAATGCAAGAAAACATGTTAAAAATTCTGCATTCCTCAATTTGAGACAGGAAACAAAATTAAAATAGAAGCACAGCCAGTATCAGATGGCCTTTAGGATGACCACTTCTGTGACACTTCAAGAACTGGAAAAGGTACAGGGATCGCTGTATAGACTACCAAGAAGGAGACTATTTTAAAGAGATGACTAAATATAAACCTATTTAAATTTTTTTTTTCTTTTTGAGTAATAATGTACTCCTTTCTAGGCTTAGTTTACAAACATTCCAATTCCATCTTGTATAACAGGTTTGTAGGAATACTTTGAGACACTTTGACAGGTCAAATGTTTAAAATATTTAAAGTTCACTTTTTTACAAATTCTAAAGATTGTTTTAATTATTAGCTTGTGTTCTGAAAATACTTTGTGCACATATTTTGCTTCACCTTTGAAAAGCCAGCTGTGATTGAATATGATGGTATACATAGATACTATTTTAAAATAAACCAAATATATTTAGAAAAAGAACACATTTTTAATTGCACCATTTCCCTCATTTAATTAACATATTGAGTATGAGAATTAAAAGAATGATAGATGGCTGTAATGTAACTATCAAATCCAAATAAGACTGTCATTGGAGTAAATGTATTCAGTTGTATTTGTACCTGTTACTCAAAAGCAAAAGATATATATATATATATATATATATATATATATATATATATATATATATATAAAAACAAGTGAATGCTTATGAAAACCAATTAGGCAAGACAATTTATTCTCTGAAAATTTGAGGATGTACAATAAAATAAAATGCAAAGATACTGAAAATAACTTGTTTTTTCTACAATTTGCCTTTAAATGTTTTTAAAGCCCTGTTGCAATTTCCTTCAAGAAAAATGTTACTAAAGATATAGATTTTTAAATGAAACTAAAAATTAATGTATAACTAATTTGTTTTAAGCCAACTTACCAGGTACAGCAGCTGGGACTGTTCTCCTGAGGGCTATCACAGTAGCCAAGGCATTCTCTTCTGGGGTATATTTCTTCTCGCAACCATGTCCAGCAGTGCACATGTTGGGTTTCAACAATGTGCCCTCCAAGAAGATATGATGATCAGCCAATGCTTTGTAGGTGAAAGCCAAAACCTGAAAAAGAATGAAAAATGAGTGAATAAAAATAGAAAATACATTTCTAAATATAAATTTCAATAAATTTGATAGATTCTAGATGCTATTTTAGTAATATAAAGTGTACTAAATTCATCATCATCATAACCATGTTTTTCATATTGATGCAGGACCAGGATTACTCTTGCACAAACAAGGTGGCTCCTACCTAACAGGATCTCGGTTTAGCTCTCCACATACACCTGTCAATCTACTGATGCTTATAATAATTTGAGGCAAAGTTTACCAAGGCTAGATGCTCTTCCTCACTCACTGTAGTTCAAGTGCACAGTTGTTTTTTATTTTCATGGTAGAGTATACTTGTATTGTCAATTAATATTTTTCTAAAACATGAATGTGGACAGGAATAAAATAAATGAAAACTAAGGCTTCTTCCTTAATGAGTTTAGTAACAACATTAAGAAACTAAACCATTAATTTGAGAGGATTAAAATAAAAATAAACATAATATACCCAGATTATTCAACAAAACATGCTTGAATGAATATATGTTGCCTATGGTCAACATTAAGCGTGTTCAATAATCAAAAGTTAAATAAGGTATTAGATAAAAGACATAAATATAGATATTTTCACTTTTGATAAGGTTTGCAAATATTTAGCAAGATTGTTTTGTTAGTAGTAATTTTTGTAATGATAGGTTCAGTTTTTTTCTTGATTTTTAAGAGTCAAAAAAGGTCGGGTGGAGCTTATATAAAATGGTTTTGAAACACAAAATGAAAAGTACTTACTTGTTCAGTAACCTTTTGAGCAACATCCAACTCGTGTTCACCATCAGGAAGTACCTCAGGTTCAACAATAGGCACAAGACCATTCTATTTAATTAAGACAAAAAAGAAGGATAACATTTATTATTATAGTGTATATTTGATTCTTATAACTGCATTGATATCTTAATGTACAATTTCATGAGTAGTAAATAATTTCAATGGCTATCTTAACCTGTTCAAAAGTATTATTTTACCAAAATAGCTTACCAAAAGTCTTTCTACTTTTCTTTTTTCTGTAAATGTTTTTCTCATCATATTTAGCCATTAATTCCATTCACAAATGAAAGGAATAAGTTTAAATAATAAAAAAATATTTTGTCCAATATTTACAATTAATAAAATAAAAATAATTATATTTGTTAATCATTTTCAAATATCTAACAAAACTAGATCAATTTGTTTTTTATGGTTTATCAACTTTTTGCAGGTTATTTAAAGCCTGAAAATAGTGTAAGAATTTTTTTTTTGATAATCATTATCTAATACATATCTTACTAGTTAATCCACAGCTGAGGGGAAAAGAAGTGGATTCATATCTTTCCCAAAAGGGTATTTGCAAATATGTGAATGTAACAAACCAAACTGTAATTGGAACTCTGCTCTCCCATTTCCAGTTTTGAGTCATTCTCCATAACATTACACACACATCCAAACTTACAGTGCCTAGTATTCGCAGTCAACCATATAGGTACTAACCAGTCTCAACGTTGCTGAACTTCAGTGTTCATGCAAGAACCAGTGTTTTAACATGATATGGCTGTAAGCCCTAACTAGAAACAACAGATTAGCTCATTGAGAATCTGCAATGTTTTCAAAGCAATTAAGAAAGATCAATTTAAGGAAATAGCAATTTCAGTTACAGTCACTGACCTGTTGACAGATCATTGCATAACGAGCAAGAACATTAGCATTTTCCATCATAGCTTGGTAGGAAGGGGTGTGAGGTCCAATCTTCAGTACACAGCGCCATTTGGCAAACTGGGCACCTCCTTTTTTGTATTCAGCACAACGTTCAGACATTCCATCCAGACCTGAAATACAGATTTACAATAAGTAAAAAGTTCTCAATACAAACATTTATTTTTTGTTTTTTTATAATCAAATTATTAAGTTATACTCTCTTTGATTCACATACCTCAAGTTGAAGGAGTGCAGAGATATGAAACCAAGTGATTATTAAAGAGGGAGACATTGCTCTACAAGGTATAATTTCATTGTTTTAGAATTTGATATATCATCTACAAATGTTTTCAAAGACATCTTTTTTTGAAAGACAACTTCAGAAACTTATGGTTATCCCACTAAATTGACAAGCATCCTTTCCCCACCCCCCTGGAATATTTTGATATGTTTAGGCACATCATTATGAAATTGTAATCTTCAAAAATACCTAAAAACATGTAGCTGTCATTGAAAGCAACATAATTTAAAGAGATTTGGAATAAAAAAACTAATCATCCCACATGAGAAAGAATTCTATCTTTAGAACAAGAAATAATCAAATTTCGTTTACATACTAATTTTTTTAGAAAATAGTCTGGAAAATAAATGAGATATCAGCAGTTGAAATTGAAGGAAATTTTACTTTGACAGGTTTTCATAAACTAGGACAGTTTGGGATACCTATTAGAAATCTTTTTTCAAAATTGCTTCAAAAACCATGACTGACACCAAAGCAACATATTCATAAAAAACATGTTACAGAGGCAAAATTTAAGAACACTAAAAAATCAAAACAGTAACATCAATAGTATCCAAAAATTGTAAACAAAAAATCTGAAGTCTTGGCTTGTTAGCTGTAAGGTTCTTCTATGTGCCATGTCACTTTAGAAGATAGGTGATCATGGTTCTCCACAACTTTCTATCCCTTGTAACCCTTAGCATATTTTCTCTTTGCTAAGGTTACCCCACCCCCATTCTACCATCCTTTCACACAAGCTCATCTGGTAGGTAGCCTTCCCTTATCTCTCTTACCCTCAACATGCCCTGTGAGGTTTAAGTTTTCAAAGCCCTCTTTCCTATGGTTACATAGATATTAATAATGGCACAAAGAATAGATGATCATCTACTGGGTAAATAAATGGCCAAATGAGAGTGGCTTACTTAGCTTTTACTTACCCTGAGTGGTGCATTCATTGAAGGTACCCATCAATGGAACAACACCCTTGTCAACTTTGATACCAGGAATGATGCCTTTGTCCTGAAGAACCTTCACAAATGGAGTTCCATTGTCAGTCTTCTGGTAGAAAGTCTCATGAAACATGATTACACCACTGATGTTCTTGGAGAGTTCAGGGTCAGTGGTAAAAAGTAGTTGACGGTACTTTCTCCTGTTTTCTTCGGTATTGTCCAAGTTAATGGCAGACAACCTTTTGCCCATTGAGCCTGGAGGGGGGAAAAAAATATAAAAGTAATTTAAAAAAAAAATTTAAACTATTGTCATTTCAAAAATGTCAGTTGCAATTAAAACATAGCATTGAAACTGTGACACAGAGGTACAGTTATAGAAGCCCTATTTTGAAATCTTTCAACTACAAATAGGTTCTCATTAGAATATAGGTTTAATCTAGCATATACTAACGTTTAAAAAATCCTTCATTTGGAGGTAGACATACTGCTAATTTTCATTTACTACAAAAAAAAAGTTAAATCAGAAATAAATAATTTTGACAACATATTTTTGCTTTATTTTTTATAATTTCACTCCAAGCATAGCAAGAATGCCACTAGTATGCAGGAAGTTGCAGGGTGTGAAAGTGAAAGAAGACATAATAGGGAGGATTAAGGAAAGGACAAGATGTAGAGGATTCAAGAAGATGGCAATTGACATTGCATTTAAATTTTTGAAGATTGTAGTTATCAGGGAAGCAAGTAAACAGAAGAGTTCTACATGTACGAAGTGCAAGAAAAACTGTTAGAGTAGAAGTGATGGTTGCATGTAGCTATTTCAACAGTAAATGGGACCTAGATGCCAATCTAGTAGCATGCTTAAACTCATGTAGGTGCAAGTCATTGTGACAGTTTGAGCATACTAGCCTTGTTCAAACTGGTAATCATGCTAGATTATACCCTCTCACCCAAAAATTGTTACTAAGATCCATTAAGTATAGCTGTTGTATAAACCACAGGTTGGCTTTGTGGGTGTTAAGCAAACAAATGTGCAAAGGGCAGTTGTTTGCAACAAGAATTAGCTTGCTACTTTAGCAGACAGGCATACATAGATATAAGCATACAGCCATATATGGAACACCTGCTGTAGGGCAGTAATTATTTTCACACACAATTTTTATAATCTGGTTTGATGCTCACGATTATGACCTTGTGCCTGACTGAAGAGAGCTTAGTAAATTTCATGGTTTCTTATAAAGAAATATGACAAGGTGTTTTATGCTGGTGGTGAGCAGGTGGTAAGAGTAAATACCCCTTAGACATAAGGACTTCACCAGATTTATTACACTATAAGTGTCCTGAAAATAATTGTAATCTTGCAATTGGTTGTGTTTTCTGCATAAGTAATCTTGTTTTTTATTGAAACAAATTCACCATCATATGTAAGAAAGGACTGCTTTTTTATGAAATCATTAAAGAAAGCTAAACAAAAGAAATGCCTCAGCAGATTGTTCTCTCTACTAAGATCTTCTTTTGTTATGGTCATACAAACCATGTTCACTTACTGGCATAAACTAATGGCTCCTGTGACCATAACAGAATATCTCATTTCTAAGATGATGTTAGGAGTTTGTGTAACTGATAAATATCTAAGTCTGGTTTTATTTTATATTATAAAATTGAGTCATGCTACAGACAGGTTCCTCACTTAGATTTCAAGACGACTTTTACTTTGATAAACTAGTGGATTTACTTTTAAATGTGTGTTGTGATTTTTTCTTTTTTCTTTTAGAAACATTTATCAAATATTTTACATGGTTGTCTCATATCATAAAAGACTCTTGCTCTTACATAGAAATCAATAATAAGATTAGCCATTTCCATACAGAAAACATGGCATTCACTGACTGAACAGTCAGCATAACTGTTGGTTGAAATTTATAAAATCATTCTCTTAAAACAGATTCAGCAAATTCAACACAAGTCCAATTATCTCACTTTCTAGTATTAATAGGAGCTTCCTTAACATTTTTTTCTTGATAGTGTGAAATGTTAACATCTTGATTATATCATTATTTTCTCTACTGTGCTATCCATTTTAGTTGTTGCCCTTGGAAGTCTTCAAATGATGTGGAGTTTGTTATTTGGTAAAGCTCTTCATTTCTGATTTTGTAGTCCTCAAGATTTATAGGATTAATTTGTTTGATTGGTAATAAAGAAATTGTTAGAGAAACTTACCAGTAGACTCATCAGCTGCCAAGATGCCCTTTCCTGGAGCAACAATGGCAGAAGCAATCTGCTTCAGCTCAGCCTCCTGTTCAGGAGTAAGGTATGGAGCAAAGACAGGCATGTTGAGGTTTCTGCAACAATGGAAATGAATGTCAGTATAGAAGAAAAAATAACACCCCATTAAAGATATAAAGAAATGTTATTCTCAAATAATATAAACAATTGAGTATTTATAGCTGGAAAGCAAAAGAAAAATATTGTTCAAAGCAAGCAAAGATGATATAGGTTTTTTTTTTTTTTTTTTTTTTCATGTCAACCAGTTTTGAATTCAGCATTGTCCTCATCCTAGATTGGTTAGCCCAGAGTAAACTTTACTGTTTCTTAATTTTAATTATATCTCAAAAATTCAAGCTTCATTATGGTCCATGTTATTTAATATCCTGTATTTGTTTAATTATAATTTTTGTAATTCTTGCTTGTCTTAAAGACTGGAGTTACTGAAACCATACACATGAAAGCTTACATTAAAACAATACTTTCTTGATTATCCAGAAATGAAGAAAAAAGTTGAAATCATTTGAACATTTTTCAATTATCTGAATGAAACCCATTCTAATATTTCCTCTCAGACAAGTGTTTTGAGAATTTAGAAATCCATACTCCTCATTTCAATTTTAAACCCCAAAGCAATGGTTATGTTTGACAAATGCTAAAGTCAGTTGCACTTTCAATCAGAAGCTGTGTCCATCTACTTTAATCAAGCTTCAGGAGATAGTAGCAGAAAAAAAATGCAAGGCCAGTGAGAAATGGACAAAACTTGATTAAATATTGAAAATTACTTTTTTCTTCATTTTTTTTTTTTTCCTGATAATTTAGGTATTTAATTATCTAGAATTTTGAATTGTCTAAAGATTTTTTTTTTCAACCCCTGTCCTAAAGGGTCTAGATAATATAAGAAGTACTATATAAAATCCTTATTAAACTGAATTTTGGTCTGTATATTTAATATTATTACAAAAAAAAAAAAAAAAAAAAGAAAAAAAAAAATTACAAACATTAACTTCCAAAATGAAAAAAGTCCAATTACAACTTACATAGGACAATTGAAGTAACTCTGAGCGGGAAATGAACTGGGTTTGGTCAGTGGAAAATGTATATTACTGCTCCTAACAAGAATCATTTAAATATCGTCATCATTTTTTTTATAAATAATAAAAAGAATCATTAAAATGACTTGCAAAATACAGGATTTAACAATCCAAGCAAAATCAACATTAAATTGTATAAAAAATATACATGTGATCAATTCCTTCTAATGATAAGGGGACTTTTTTTTATTAACTACTATTATTGATTGTTAAATACTGCAGTTGCATATACCCACATGAATACAATTAATATATTTCTGATGATATATTATCTACCTTACTTGTATGTCTAATAGAATAGGCAAAGAGGTAGTGTAGCTGTGGCAGTCATAAGATGTTGACAGAATTTAACACCATTTAACTATAGAATGTTTGGAGCAAAAAAAGAGTGAACTGGGAAGTACTCTAAGCATTTGGAAACAATAGCAAAGGCATTCTATTAATGTATTAAATTCAAATAGACATCAGTGAACAAGGAAACCTGCAGGCACCCACAAATAATGCAAGAATATCACTAGCAGGAAATAGAAAAGGATAGTAAACATTCAACAAAGGAATAACATTGTATCCAATCACATCTTAATTCAATGCTGGTGCTAATCAACCCATCAGTCAACATACACTATATTCCATGGCATTTTGTGACTATTGACTAACAAGATAGCATTGTTGAGTCTATGGCATCAGTTCCTGCAACTAATCTGGATCAGACAACATTACCATTGGATCATGGAAGATTGGTGCCAAGTTAAAAGCACAATCATATTTCCAGGTGTTTCAGGCAGGAGGTTGAGTTCCTGTAGAAAAAACACAGTGCAAGGCTATGAATCTGGTTTGTTAGAAGGGTGTTGCAGCTCTGTAATGGCATGGTATATACTTTATCCTAGTTTGAAAAAGGATCAAGAATGAAATTGGAGTTTGTCTTGACAATTATATACAGATCTTGTTGCAAACCGTTTGTGCTTGCTATGGTTTCTGGTAGTGACAGTTTGTTTCAGAATGATAATATGCCCCTCATTAAATGCAACTGACATGAAATTGGTTCCAAGAACAAGCAGCAGACTTCTAGGCATGCTATTGCTTGTAAGATTTAAACTCCAATGAGTATGTGATATGTAGCATTAAATTCCATGCAACCACATACAAATAACTCAACAGCCTTATTAGAATGTATCTGGATAGATATACCACAAACTGAGTTTTTGGCACTTCAATTTATCTAAAAATCATTACAATGACATGAATTCAATTTGTTTCAATTGTTTTAAATCTACAGTTTGTCTAGTGATAAGGATTCTATCAAAATTGTTGCTTCTAAGCAATTAAGATTATAAAACTATTTTACCTTTATAAAAATTTAGGTAGCTAATCTTTTGATATTTCCATTTTTAATTTTGTTTTTTGCCATTCTATTTATTACTTTTTAAAATGTGTATTAATTTTAATCTTTCACATTAGATCTTAAGACATTTTTGATGAAATAGAATTAATACACACTTATGTTATAATTTATTTTATAATGTACATTAAAATTGTCTTGAATCAAGTAAAATCAAATGTAATTTACAAAGGATTAGTAATCTTTTTATTATTTTGATTAGGAAAGAAATGCAATGAAAATGATTTTATATTAGAAAAAAAATCTGCAGTAATATTGTTTTACAACATTTATTAACATTATAGAAATTCCTAATGGGAATGGTGAAAGCCTGAATACCTGCTCCCAGTTCATCAAGAACAAGTTTTTTAAAGTCATAAATGTCATTCAGTTATTATGATAATCTATTAACCAAATACAAATCGTATTCAAGAAACTTATTGGAAACTTAAAGCATTATAAAACTATAACGAAGAGCTTTGTATGCATCAAGAAAGTTATTTTTTCTGGCATTTTACAAACCAAGATTGGTAAAGAATCATTTTTGTATAGGTACCTCCACTATTTCAGTATACCTAAAGTTTAAAAAGAATTTTCATAAATGAAAAATCTTTCTTGAAGCTTTCATTTAGCTTTAATTGAAAGTTAAAGGGTTTTGTTTTTTTTTGGGGGGGGTAAAAATAGCTGAGCCTATGGCCATCACAATTAATTTTTCTTTATTTGAAAATCTTCCAAAAATGTACTTTTCTGAAACTTTATAGGAATATTACCTGTTTTTAAGTATAATTAATCTGATTTGAAAAAAATATCAATTTTCAGTTGAAAATAGCAGAGAAATTGTTTTAAAAACAGTAGCAGTGATTACATGCTTGTCAAGTTGCTTCTCAAAGATTGTGACTTGACAAGTGCTTCATGAGATGTCAACAGTTTTATTGTTCTATTGAGACTTCATCTGTTAAAACATAATTTAAGAAAATGATGGGTGAACACTTTTTATATAATTTTTAAGTACTCAGTAATCTTAAAAATGTTGGAAATATTCTCAATAATCTAATTTTAGAAATGTTGACTTTAAACTTATTATGATTGATCTTATTTTCTGATAATGTTATGTATGGTCATCCATCCTTTCAAGATGGGCACATTTGTACACATAAAAAAATTAAAATTATTTTAAAAATCTTACGACATGATGATTTCTAGTAAGCTTTTCAATTTTCACTTAGTAACTAGTCTCCACTTTAATAATTTAATAGCCTAACGAGGACAGTTTGTAAGAATTTTTGAATTTTTGAAATTTTATAAGTTATTAGAATTAAAAAAAAAAAAAAAAAAAAAGACTGATTTACATTCTCCAAGGAGTCCTGTGTTTAACTAATAAAACAAATTTGGAGGAGGAAATTTAAGTGTGTGTATTGGAGGAGAAGGGGGTAACATGTGCAAAAAAAAAATTAAAAAAATATTTTTACCAAGATTTTCTAAAAATAATAATTTCAATAATAAATTCATTCATTTATAAATAAGTTCTGAAAGTTTCGTTAAAATCTGACATTTATATAACTTTTGCAAGAATTTACAAATGAAGTTGTTATTTTACTAGAAAAGAAGAGACTAAATTTCCATAACCAGCTGTTGACCCATAAAAAAAAATAAACTTTGAAATCAAAATTTCAAACATGTTAGAAAGGAATAAAAAAATGTTAATACTTTGACTTTTCTTCTTAAAAACAAATATTTTAATAAGACTTTGATTTTATTAAATTTGGTGCTTTTTTTTCATCATTGTGTGTGTGCATATATATATAATTTTTTTTTTGTTTGTTTTTAGTGAATTAGTGGAGATACCTATTTTACAGAAATTAAAATAAAAACAAAGTTCAGTTTGAAAAATATAAAAATAATTTATAATAAAATCACTTTTTTCAGATAAAAAAAAAATGTGTACTGATTCAACAGGGTAGTCAATACTTACCAGTCATAAGTAAAATAACCTATATTTAAGATAGATTTTTTAAAAGTTTTATGCTATAATGTATTATACAATACTATCTAGAGATTACATAAAAATTCACTTTTAATTTTTGGTAAATTTTTCGAAGATTAAATTCATCTGTAAAGTGATAATCAATTTTCTTTTTCTTTTTTAATTTGCAGCAACATGATTCAGTAAGTTTGAATCCTATGATTTCAAACTAGAAAAATCAAAGGAGAAATTTAGAATATGAATGAAAAGATTTGCTTTCATTTATTGCAGCATCTGTGATATACAGATCTCTACAGGTAGAAATTCTGCAGTACAAGCTAACTAAAACTCAAAACTAGAATTATATGCTTATATTTTCCCCAAATATTAACAATTATTGCAACTATTTGTTTCACTATTCTTCAGTACTTGAATTTTGCATATGATTTAATATCCTGTATTTAGTTTTTCTATTCACAGGAATTTCAAGTGCCGAGAAAAAGTATCAAAAAGAACAACTACCAAATTTGGTAAGTTATCAAAACTCTTGCATAAAAAAAAAAAAAATCTTAAATTTCTTCAAAGAAAAAACATTGTAAAAAGAAAAAAAAAGGCAACTTTGTCAGATGAACTAAAAATAAAAAAAACCAACAAATCTTAGATATTAAATTCCTAAAAAAACATTGCTGTTGCAGCAGTGATCACAACTGACAAAAGAAAAGCTGCCATTGAAGGCAGTTTTAAAATATTAGTCAAGATAAAATAAGACTGATTGGTCAGTAATAAAACAGTAATAAAGTAACAAACAGCCAATTCTGAGATACTTCTCTGCTTCTGAGTTAGTGTTGTTTCTAGAGATACAATTCCAGCAGGCCATGCGACAAGTCAGAAAGGTGTGTTTTCGTCTCCCTCCAGGCAAGAAAGGCCTACACTCATAAATTCAAAAGGAAAAAAAAAAAACACAACTACAATAAAAGGGAAAATTAAAGTTTCAGTACTAACCTTTTTTACTATGAGAAATTATTGAATCTTTGGATTAGACAGTTTGAGCAATTAGTAATCTATGCAAGTGGGCACTGATTTCATCACCAAGCAGTGGCAGTTTCATGCTTGAATGCAATTTTCAGGCCTGAAGACTGCATTTAAGTGTGAAACAGACTGTCGCTGCTTGGTGTTAGCCTCAGTGTCTACTTATATATTTATATACGCTATCTCTGATATTGAGCACTTTTATCCATAAATATAGCATACCTTTATATATAGATACACACACACACAGAGGGTGCTATAGGGAAATTGTTGACATTTTATATTTTTAATTTTGTGCCAGCACGTTTTATTTTTGCTGACTGCACAGTATAGTAGAATTGGTTGGGCATCATCTGAGAAAAAAAGCGCACTATGATGCAATTTGCTCTAACAGAAATTTGAAAATGGTATGCTCTACTGCTTAGCATTCATGACAGAAGGTCTAATATGAATGTTTCAGAGTGTTTGGGTATCAATCTGAGTACAGTAGAGAAGATTCAAAAATAATTGGAGGGGTTTAATGGTGATCACGAAGACATGCCAGCTCGGAAAATTCATTCTGATAAGAAAAAACTCCCGAATTTGTTGGTGAAGGTCTCAAACTCAGTATGGAATCCTTGAAGAGGTAATACTGCTCTGGCTGCTGGAAGACCCTATGTCTGATAACAGGACTCTGCACCATGCCACACAAACAAGAGAACCCAGTCATAGCTGTCAGACAATTTCTGCAACCACATCACTCTTTACATCTGGCCACCTAACTCCCCAAACTGCAACCCCCTTAATTATGTGTAGGGCATAGTTGAGCGAGAGACCAACAAAACTGCATGTAACACCAAAGATGAACTGAAGGTAAGGATTATGGAAACATTTGCCAACTTAAACAAGACTGTCCAAAAGAGTTGAAGATTTCAAAGTCGTCTGGAGGCCATGATAGAAGCCAATGATGATTTTATTGAATAAATCTACTCTTTAGTATTTCAAGATATTGTAATTAATTTTGTTAAATATATGTTAAAATGAGATGTCAGTATTGTTTTCATTTTTGTGTAATTTAGACAACAATTTATCCATTGCACTCTGTGTATATGTCTCAATAATTCCATCCCAATTATTGTCGAAAAAGTAATTAAATTAACTTATTCAAAATATTGATTTTATTGCAAAGTTTTTACTTTTTAAAATATGGTTTGACAACGTCACTGAGTGAACTGGAAGATCATTCATTCACAAACTCAGACATTGGCATGCAACCAAGACATATGGATGGAGCTGGTCAGGTGCTCACTTGCGCATTGGCATAACTAACATATTCGGTCATGCGAATGATGATGATGAAAGTATCAATGAAATGTGCAGTCAACAGAGGAGAAAATATCTGACTTTGAAAGTGTGTTACTGTTCAAAATAATTATTTCAATGTTTAAAATTTAAAAAAAAATAAAAAAAAAATAAAAAATAAAGTAATAATGTTTTTAAAGAACATGGAGTACTTTTTCAGATGAAAAGTAATTTGCCTTTTTGTTTTTTCTTAACTAAAAAGTTAGAACAGCTCTCCAAACAAATTTTTCCTGCAAAGTATGGAGTTAAGAAGTCGATGCTTGATAGAAGAGAGGAAAAAAAAAGCTATTAACTTGGCATTTGTGTGGTTGCCGTCCATATAAGAACAAATGAGAATCATCACGTAGGCAGAATATTTATAGACGAAAGCTGATAGGTGTGTTCATAACACGAAATGGGAGAGAGAAGTAAAGTGTGATGTAAAAACCGGACAACTATGACGATTCTAAATGCAGCAACCACAAGCTTTAAAGGCGATCACTATTTTTTCTTTTTCGAAATTGTGGATAAAATTAAAAATCATTGGTGAGAGGTTTTATCCGATGAAACAGATTTTTAAATAATGAGGCGATCGGTCAAAGCTTCCATTATTCATGCAGAGACATAAAAAAACGGCATTCAAACTAACAGAAACTCTAATTAATACGACTTAAATTTAAATGACAAAAAATAAAATAATTTGGTGTAAGGATCGAAGACTGAAGTAGTATAAAGTCTGTAAAAAAGATAATCACAAAAAATTGTTTTTTGTTTTGTTTTTTTTTTAATTTTTTTATTAAGTTTTAATTTTTAAAGTGTCAAAGCGATACACACAGCCAGCCATCAAATTAATTAGGAACTATATATTATCAATAATGTGAGTTTTTAATTGAACAAAGAAAAGGAAGTCCGAACAGAGACAGAAACATTGTTCTTTTTAAAATTGAATCAGTTAATTTTCTGCAAATGAAACGATCGTTTTTATTCGAAAGCTACATAGCCGAAAGATGAAATTAAAATCCAAATGACAAGATAAAATTTTAAAAGTAACTGCAATGAATAAACTAGCGGAAAAAAAAAGAAACGTTGAATGAATAATTGACATTTGAACTAAAAATGTAAAATCGATGTTAATTTATTTTAAAAAGAAATATTTTTTGATTTTCGATTAAAGCAAAAAAGTTAATATCGCTTTAAAAAAAAAAAAAGAAACATCTGTTGAACAAGAAGCAAGTGAAACGACATTTGTAATCAACACAAAAAAAGATAATTTATAAAAAATAATGACAAAAATGAAACAAAAAATGCAATAAAACAAACGCGTGTCTGTTGAAATTAAATCTTTAAAAAAATCGGATTTTTTTTTTTTTTCGTCTTTTCTCTTTAAAATTCCGCATTTATACAATTTAACAATTACTTTTGGTTTTAAACATTTCAACAAGCAAAATGCGTAGGCGGGGAAGAGAAAACTTAATTTTTTCGACAGGGTTAGACATATTTTGTTTCAAATCTTTAAAAATCAAAACGAAAAATTTAAATTTAATACTAATTAATTACAAATTCTCATTACTTAAATAATAAACATTTTTATAAAAAAAAAAAAACCTATAAAGAAAAATCCTTTTTTTTTTTTTTTTTTTTTGTAACTTGGCATTACAAAAAAAAAGTTTATTAAACGAATTAATAAACATAAAATATATCGGTTAAATAAAAAATAGAAATCAATTCTTATTACAAGAGTCAAATCAATAAGTAAATAACCATTTTTAATATGTTAAGCAGCAAACGACCTTGCCATTATAAATCCAGCGATAAAGAAAAGCGGAGATCTAAAAAAAATGATGGTTAAAAAAACTACAATACAAGGTTTTCTTTTTTCTTTTTGCTATATTTATTTTTTTCGCTATTTTTTTTTTTTTTTCAATATCAAACAAATAAAAAAAGACATCGATCTGATCAAATATTTTAAAATGATTTCAGTGACGAAGAAACAGGATCTTTGAAGGGGAGACAGACTACAAAAAACCGGATGGTCGATTCGTATTCGAAGATTTAGTTTTACTTAATTTTTAAATATAATTATTAATTGATAAATCTTAAATTCAGGCCTAAATACTTCCATTTTTTAAAAAAATACATTTGCTTCATTAAGCCTTATGGGAACAAAGCAAAAAATCAAGTACTAAGAAGAAGAGTAAGAATTTCACACAACAAAATGACACTTTTTCGCGTTGCTGAGAAGAGATAAAAAAAAATCGTCGTATAATTAAATCCAACTGCAGAAAGAAAATTGATGATTATAGAGGGATGAAATGAAAAATCTTGACTGCAATGACTTAGTTGTTAATATTACGATATTTAAAAAAGAGTAAATCCGAAATGTCCTTGTAGCCATTGTTTATCCTTCATCAGTCAAGGTCGTTGTACGTCCTTGACTGACAAATTGCAGCTGGATCTACGCCGATTACAACAAACGAAATGTTTATCTATATTTTGTTTCTAAAACAAGGGGAAAATGTAATCCATTGCAATACTCTTTTGATTCGTTTTTTTAACAATATTAATAATAAATTTGACAAACGCAGTTGATTTTTTTTTTTTTTTTTTTTTAACTCACCTGCAACTGGTTTCACAGGAGAGAATGCGATCTACACCGTTTAACTGTGAGTCTGCGCAGAAACGCACGGCTTGGTCGTTTATATACTGTCGGTGACGTCATCTAACGCAACAAGATTACGGAAAATAACGGATTTACACGAAATGGTTACAGAGAAATTCCATTATGTAAAGAATTTTTTTTCTATTTCTTTTTCTGAAATACTCCAAGCTTTCTCAAAGTAAATATAATTTTATAAATGAATTAATGATTAACTTTAAAAATTCACGTTTTAGTGGTGGTGTGAATTTTTATTTTTTACCATTACAAAGGTTATGTCCTTGACTTTCACAAAATTTCTGCCTTGGCTTGGCGTAATGTCAACAAATTGAGCACATGTTCCTCGATGCGATCTACGTCAATATCGACTGACTACTTCAACATCTTTTTTTATTTTTTATCCTATTTATTTTATTTATTTATTTTTGCTTAATCAGACAGAAAATATTTAAGATTCCCTAAACTGGAATAGTGTATCTTGTATGAAATTGTATTTTTCTCATGCATTTTTATTATTTATTATTGTTTTGAAGGAATGACCTTCACTAAAGTGAAGGCCATCTTCACACCTTTCAAAAAGTAACTATTCGAATTTTCATTTATTTATTTCTTTAGAGGAGGGGGACAAATTACAATGCTAAACTAATTACCTTTTTTTTTTTTTTTTAATACACTAGTTACTAGTAGCGGATCCTTTTCGTTAGTCAGCAATGTCCATAATTTCTATGTCTATGGAAACTTAATTCCTGCTGTTATGAAAAAAAAAAAAAAATTGCTCTAACTTTAATTTCTAATTTAAGTTAGTATAGTTTTTTTTTACTTATTCTTTTCAATTATTTACTTTTCGGCTTCTTTTCAGTCATTTCTGTACAAGATAAATATAGGCACAAAGTCAGGGTCCATTTTTTCATTATTTTTTTAAAGTCAATCACACGTATTATACGACATAGTCAGGGTTCACTTTAGCATTTATGTTGATTGTGAACAGAACCTCCAATTTAGAGACACTTCACCCATTCACACTTAACATCATTTTTCTAAAAAAAAAAAAAAAAATCTGATAAAGCAGAGCACCTGCCACCAAAAAAAAAAGAAAAATTTTAACGTAAAAATGTTTAATAACGGAAAACTTAACCATTAAGTTTAATTAATTAGATTAAAAAAGAATTCGTCCTTGCACAAAATTATTAAAAAAGAAAAAATCTATTTAAACTTTCCCTTAAAATAAAAATCACTTGTTTCAGTTTATGTTAGTTACGTAAATGACAGTTTTTATATCCTGCCTAGCAAAAAGTCTTGGGACTCAAGCGGCCTGACCCACGGTCATTCTTAACCAGGACATGACCTTTTTTTAAACGTTCAAACGTACATTTAAACATTTTATATTTTTCTAATTCTAAATTTAAACGAAAAACCACATAGTTCTATTTCTTGCCAACTACATTTCAGTTCATTCAAATATTCGACAAACGGAAATAATTCTTGGTGCTGCAAAAAATACTGCGTCATAAAATCTAGTTACGCAATTCCTACAGTGATACCGACTCTTTAAATTTCGTTTTCCTAATAAAATTACACGTGTATCTATATTTAATTTAAAGACTTGTCAACCCACTAATTTAATTTTTTTTTGTTCAGTTTAAAGAAAAATTAAATTTACCCCAAAATACTTTTTTTTTTTTTTTTTTTTTTTTTTTTTTTAAATTAAAATAATGTAAAAAGAAAATGTAATCGGAGACTTTTTTCGGTTAATCCATGAGATTAAAATTTTTTAGAGCGTGATGAAACATGCGCACACGCCTAATTAAACAAATTAATTTCGTAAAAATTTACATGCAGATTTATGTATAAAGTTTTAAAGTAATTATTTTTTTTTAAATAAGCATTTTCAGGTTTTTATCTAAAAATCGTGGCTGGTTGTTACGCTTGGCTTAATGAATTTGTATTTTTTTATGTACAGCGTGAACATCATTGTTTAAAAAAATGCAAAGGTAGATAGAAGAATAAGGATTGTTATTTCGCGTCATTTGAACAAGCTGGCAGATAGCTGCAATCAATACACGTGTCGCTTTTAATTGTAGATACGCTTGTAAGGGCAACAATACGGTTACCTTTTCACTGAAAAGTGGATTGGATATGATGCGGATATGAATCGACCCACAACAAAGAAAAGGGGCGAAAAAGGTGTTTAAATATAACACTTTTTTTGCAACTAATTTTTTCTTAGCGTTTATAAAAAATTTTACAGTCCCTGTGTATAGGTATTTGTTAAATTGTTTCTTTAAATGTAATTTCTTCGCGTGTATATGTGAGGAAAAAAGTGTAAGTGTCACGTAGCTTGGAAATTTCTTTTAATCCAGGCGTCGTGAACTGTTGCTGTCTGCCTCTCCTTACTGGTGTGTCCGTCTAGAGACGTTACTTAAGTACTTTTCAAAGGGATCACGATTTTTATTGTCGGCGGGAACGCGACCCATTGGCTGAAAAATGTTAAATATTCATTTTCAGTGGGTTATTTCATTAACATGAATAATGCGCGGATCGTTCGACTCAGAAACCATTTTTTTGTCATTTGATGATTTGACTGCTTTCATTACAGATTGAATTCATGTTATTGCGTGGATGGATGAAACGGGAGTTAAAGTGTGGATGGAAAAAGGGTGGTCCAATCGGCTTGCTACGAAAAAAACAATGCATTGCTAGTATGGGGCCAGTTCAGTGCACACAGGACAGACAACACTAAAATCTAGCAAGAGAAATGAAGACAATGTTAGCTGTAATTCTTGGTGGCCTTACTTCTCAGCTGCAGCCACTTGATGTGACCATCAACAAACCATTCAAGAATAGCATGCGTTAAGAATGGTCTAAAGGGATGGCAGAAGAAAGACATGAAAGGACACCGTGTGGAAGGATGAAGCGTCCATCAATAGCTCAAGTGTGTGAATGGGTGTTGAAATCTTGGAATGCTATTAATACTAAAATTGTTGTAAAATTATCATTTTCGTACTAACTGAAACCCCCAAGTTTCTATGTTCTATTATCCATGTACACAAGTCTCTCTCTGACTGCGGCCATTTTGCTGATACTTGACGTAAATTTTGCTTTGTCTTTTTTCTAACTTCACTCAATCTTTCTTTTTGTTTCTTCTACTGCCGAATAATTTTTCCAAAGTGTCTCTGCTATTCTGTTATCATATTCTTTGACATATCTTTCAACATGTACTTTGTATGCAATAGTATAAGTAAATCGTTTTGATGAACTCGCTATGGGTGATAATTTCCAGGACACACACACACACACACACACACACACAAAAAAAAAAAAAAAAGATTGTGATACGTGTGACAGCCTGGTGGTAACTGATATTTTCACGACATAAGGGTGTGAGCAAACCTACACCATGAAGATCAGAAAGGCTCCCGCCGCTGCTAATAAACAGGGTATGTTTAAGCTTGTGGCTCGGCTTCAGGAAAGTTTATAGTCTTGGAAAACTTGTAAGAGCTAAGTACTGAGATTACATCATATAAAAGGCTGAATTAGATAGCTAACATTATAGTGTAATGACACAACATATAAATCTACGTCCCTATCAGTCAGGCCAATTAGGTGACCGTTCAAGCTTATTTGCCTTACATTCGTATTGGAAGACGCACGCGTATTTTTCAGGGCATTTTCTTAGGAAAAAAGTGCGTCTTGTAAGCCAGATAATACGGTAGTTGCTTAATATTTGGAGTCGTGATATGTTTTAGGGACCGTAATAGGCGTTTTCACAAATCTGCAATTTGAAGTAAACTCTGGTCTTTTCCGAGTTTATATTGTTCTGAAAATGTTATTTAAATTTTCTCCTCTCGGAAAATGTTTCATGTTTTGTAGCGTTGTCGTAAGATGGGCTATTTTCCGTGCTATTCTGGTGGCTATTTCAGTTGTGTGCGTGTGCATATTTTTTGTTTTTACATGATGTTTCATATCTGTTTCTAAAGACCTTTTGTTATATATATATGGGCTATTTCTTTTAAATGTGTTTCGCTGAATATGAGACAAGGAAAATTGAATTTTTTTTAATTTAGTTTTTCCAGCATTCTTACATTTTTAACTGTTTGGCTTGAATAACAAAACACATTTTATACCATCAAACATGAAGATAAATTAGCAACACCCAAATAAAACCCCATTAAAAATTGCTAAAGTGGTGTCCGAAGGCGCTTGTGACAATGAACAATTTTTGCACTCGTTTTCCCACCAAATGGAAAAATGTGAGAATGCTGTAAAAACCTAAATAAAAAAATTCATTGAATTTTCATTGTCCCTCATATTCAAGGAAACGCGCGCACACACACACACGTATATGTGAAAGGTTTCTGCCCATATATATATATACATATATATGAACCGAATTACCCGCATCCTTCTGCGTGTCACACATTTTTCTTGTAAGAAAATTGATTGATTTTTAAATCATTGTTATAATTTGTAGAGAAAAATGATGCATTTCATTATTACTCAATGATTTTGCCGATGTGACCTTCATCTTCTGGCTTTCTCTTTTTATATTTTGGATAGGAGTCGTCCCTTATTTAAATTTAATTTAAATCAAAAGGGAAAAAAATTCAGTCGGGGGTTTGGGGCTTCCCTTTGATCAAAATGAAATATACTTATCAAAGTACCCTAGATGTCATTCCCTTGTTCAAATTTAAATTTAATTTATATCAAAGGGAAAAAAATCAGTAGTGGTGTTTGTGACCTCCTTTGATCTAAATAATATATACTTATCCAAGTACCCTGGGTAATGCAGTTTCAGAATATTGTTAGGGGGGGGGGGGCGCTTATCTCCGAAAAAACAAACAGAAGATACAACTTATATAATCGATTCATAATTTGAGGTTCCATGGATCCTGTCTCAGCAACGCGACGATTAACAGCAGCAAAGGTTGGATGACTCGGCTCCCTTCGAACTGGAAATACTGTCTCCTACAGCTGTGCACCCACACGTCCATTACCATACGCACGGCTGTATGAAAAAAGCATATCTGCCTGCTCACGATATGAATATCCTGCTATTGTTAAACGGAACACTTCTCAGTTAACTCACTACTACACACGTTAAACGCTGGTAACAGACTAACCTCAAATGTACACCAATGACAAATATAACCTAGTCTAAATGGCAACACAGCGCCATCTACCGTAAACTTTCTTTGAACTTAATAAAAATGAAGGAATTGCAGTTATGTTTTTATATAGACTTTTGTCCTTGTTTTGGTTTGAGGAACCCGCTAGCAAAGTTTGTCAAATTATTTTTGATACACCCTGTATAATTTATATATATATATATATATAGGAAAATGTGTTAGAAAGATCTGTACAAATCTCGCAATATAGAAATAATAAAAAGTCGAAAATGCTCCTGATGTTTTATATATTTAAACATAATATTTATAATACATGTAGGTTTACAGAAATTTATTAAATTTTTTACTTACCTGTGATTTTTCAGGAAAAAAAACGATTTTACTGAGACCCTAACAGATGTTACCACCTCGGGTCAGGGTGGACCTGGGAACAACATCAATTAAGAGGTGGTTCCACACTCATCAAAACCTTCAGCCTCCTGATCAGAGGCCTTGCTCTCGGGTGTAGTTTATCGTCATACGCAGGGTTGGTTTTATTCATGGTTGTATTTGAAATGATAGTATCCATTATTTACTTAAGAAACTCAAAATCCTTTCTTTAAAATTGGAAAAAAAATATCAACGAAACGGTCAAAAGTATGAATGGAACTCATGCACCTATTCCTGAAGTCTTTTATTGTCATTGTTTTTTTGGGGGGGGGGGTAAATAAAGAACAAGAAAAACTTTTTAAATACCGGACACCTCATATGTGGCGCTAATTTTCATGCTTGTATCGTAGACGAGAGGCTAGATCAGTGGTTTCCAGACTTTTTTTTTCTCTGGGCCGTATTTTCAGAATTAAAATTTGCTCGCGCCTAGACAAATTTTATGTGATAAAAATTACATTTAAATATAAAAAAAAAATTGAGATAACTGCGGATTTACAGTCAGAACGTTATCATTGATAACTCTCTCCTCCAATTTGCGGACCCTAGTTACTATATTCTTAATACTTGATATAATACAAAATTATCACAATGATAAAATCGGTCAAAAATTATTTATAACTATATTGGGAATCATGCATGCAATTACATGTAATCCATAATAATATTTTAAATTTTGCAATCATATTTATTTTTGGCATATGAATTGTTTTGAAACTGTTTATAAATCCTTGATTGTCTTTCAGTCATTCCGCCTCACCTGCTATCCTCTTCCACCGCACCGTTTGGGAACCATTGAACCAGATCCACATTTAGTTCGTTAAAGTACGCTGCCGTGACTTATGGCAAATAAAACAGTTTAGCAAATAAATATCTATTTGAATATTTTTCTCTGCTTCAAAGAGCACTGAATTTAAGAACGAATAGTTGAGATACTATGTTACTACTACCTAAGCTAATAGTAGCCCATTGCTCTCATGTTTAAATTGACACAAAGATGATTGCAACGGTGATAATTTGTTAGGGAAAAGAAATATTCCACTTAACAATTATTAGCACTAATAGAGCCGTTTGGCTGAACTAACACAGAAATAGAATGATGCTTAAAAGAGACGAGGACTCCAAGTTATGTGTGCAGTACAGTATTTCTATACGAATATGAGGCAGTCTTAGTAAACGGTAGTAAAAATAAGTTGTCCATATTGCCAAGTTATCACACGCTTAGATGAATAAGCAAGGAAAATTGCTGAAAAAAAAAAATGAAAAGATCTTTTAATTTAATGGACAACTTCTTCACCAGAGATAAGTATATTGAGTTGGTATCTCTCGAAACGAGTATAAGAAAAGGGGGGTTCATTCTAGGTTACCAATCAGAAAGTGAGCTGGCTTTATATCCAGCTCGTGCAGATTTGATTTGTTTTTTAACAGCCTATCAACCTTTTAAAGGGTATTTAAAGCCAGCAAATATTTTTTTAATTGCAAGAATTTGAAGGGGGAGATAATTATTTGCTACTAATGAAACCATAGATGAGGGAGAAGCGTTGGATTCATAGTTTTTTCCAAGGGTATTTGCGCGTTAGTGAATATAACGAACCCGACTGGAATTAGAACTCGGTTCTCCGATTTCCAATTAGAACTCCTTCGGTTCTCCGATTTCCATTACAACATCCTCACATCCAAGCTTACTGCACCTGGTATTTCCAAGTGGTCACCCATCTAGGTACTGACCAGACTCGGCGTTGCTTCACATCGGTGATCGTAGAACTCAAAAGCATTTTATGCGAATTTGTGGGTGATTGTTTTCCATCATACAACCCCTTTCTACACAGATAAAATGCTTCTAACCTTTCGTTACTCTATCGCTATGTTCAGACGAGCTGCCAGCTGCTTCTGCTGAGTATAAGTGTCCTTTTTGTTTTCTATTCTCTTTAAAACTTTCTCATTCCTCACGCAATCCGTCATGGTATTCTCAACATTCTTCTATAGAACCATTTCTGTTGCCTCAATTCTCTTCTTCATCTATGAGGAAGTTGTCCAGCATTCAGTGCCACATAGGATTGATATTGTACAGCAAGGTAGTTTCTATCAAAAATGTTCTCAGCAAAACGACACAGAATGAAAGGAAATACACAACTGGCTGAGCTTTTATGAAATATTCATTCCATAAAATAAGAATCTATAAATATAAAGTTGTAGCTTCTGTATGTCTGTCTGTTTGTTATAGAACTTCATCTAGGGTTTTGGAGATAGACCCATATATATTCTGACCCATATATATTTTTGGAGATAGAACCATATATATTCTGAAAATACATTACCCAGGGAACTTGGATAAGTATATTTCATTTTGATCAAAGGGGCTCCCGAGGGGAGCACAGCCCCCCTCCCACTGATTTTTCCCTGTGATACAATTTAAATTTGAACAAGGGATGACTCTTATCCAAAATATGGAAGTATGGAGGTCACATCGGCAAGATCAAAATGAGACAATATGGACGTCAAGTTGAGCAAGAAATCACCAATCAGTGAGTCGTGCTTTACAATACATATTTGTTGCGACAATTCAACTCTCATATCAATGTTGAATTCTGCTTATCAGTTCATTCAATCAACTATTGCATCAAATACATATCAAAGGGTTTAGATCAAGCTGTTTTGCACTCCCCCAAACACTGAATTTTTTTCCTTTTGATTTAAATTAAATTTAAGTTTGAACCAGGGAATGACTCCTATCCAAAATATAAAAGGAGAAAGCCAGAAGATGGAGGTCACATCTGCAAGATCATTGAGTAATATTGAAATACATCATTTTTCTCTAAAAATTATAATGATTTAAAATCAATCACCATTTTCTTACAAAAAAATGTGTGACACGCAGCAAGGCGCGGGTAATTCGGCTAGCAAAGTAATAAATCTATAATAGTGGAAAGGGTATGCCTTCCATTAACAACTGAATCCAAATGTTTACATTTTGTTTGCAAAGGAGAATCCTACTTATTAACTGGCTGGAGAGGAGCGCTTCCATGTTAGGCACCCTGACCCTACGCAAAGGCGAAGGAAAAGAAAATATTTCTTTTAGAAAACATAGGTTTTTAAATGTGCCCGTTAGCTCATGCTACATATAACCACTACAGCCAATCCTTTGTGGTTACTGCTGCTATTGTGTCACAAAATCACTACAATATTTACTAAGTTTAGCTTAGTCTGGCTCATAGCTACAGTATAATAGAGCAGCCCGTGTGAATTAAATCTACTACCTTAACAATGGTTTAAAATATTCTGCCAGACAACTGCCAGTACTTAACGACCTCCAGCTTTCTGCGTTGCAAATATTCAATAGGTCAGTACGCACAGGAAGCTACTTTGCATGAAAACAAATGAAGCCACTTTTCAGACAATGCTCAAGATTTATGAGTATAAAAAAATATTATGATCCTTGCGGCTAAAGAAATCATTTTTTTCTCTCACAACTTACTCGGATCTTCAAATAAATAAAAATAAATAAATAACAGAAATATTATTATTATTATCATTATTATTTAGAAATTTTGGTCTAAAATTTTAAGATGTTTTGTTGATATCGATTCAAAGTTGCCTAGCAGACATTATGCACTGCTATGGAACCCAGCGATTCTAAAAAGCGAAGAACACGTAAAAGGAGAATAAATATATTTTTAGATAAATGTCTTTTTTTATCATTTTACCCCCAAGTAAGGCAATAAAGCCACTAAGACGCAAGAGGTTACTTGGTGTAGGAGAATGAGAAATAAGTCACTATTAAAGAGAGAGAACAATATTTGAACATGAATTAAGACAAAAGGTAACAATTGACATTGCATGTAAACTTTTGAAGATCAAATTTGACTGGGGAAACAAGGAGCTTGGAGAGTGTTCCACAAGCGAGAAGTACGATAGAAGAAGTTGTTAACTTACATAGTTATGTATAGCTATGTAACGTAAGTTACATCTACCGCTATAACTATATAACTTACGTTACATAGTTATAGCTGTAGATGTAACTTACTGTTACATCTACAACTATATTGTGGATTTATTTTTAATTGGTATTACCCCTGCGAGGCAGTACAGCCACCAAGGCACAAGGGGTTACAGGGTGTGGAAGAATTAGGAACAGAGACATTAATAATGAGCGGGAAGAGGAAAAGAGTAATCAGGAGGACAGTAGATAGCGATTGACATTGCATTTAAATTTTTGAAGATTAAAATTGGCTGGAAAGCATGGAGCCGGAAGAGAGGTCCACAAGCGAGAAAAGGAACTGTTAGCATAGAACTTACGGCTACATCTAGCCAGCTCAACTGTATATTGATGAAATTTCAACACTAGTACTGCGCTTAAATGAAAAAAGTTCAAGTACTACAGGGAAGAGCTTATCCGGACAATTAGCATGAAAGTATTTATAGAAAAGACACAAAGAGGTAACCTTACAGTGGTGGGAATGTGACTGAAGCCGAGCCGCCAGATCAAGACAAATAATATTGCTGATTCTTCTTTGGATTTTACCAATGAGCTCAAGGTAAATAACAGTGGCATCAGGCCATGTGTGTTCACCATATTCTAAGCATGGATGAATTGTAGACTTCTAGATATGTAAGATAGATTGTGGAGTGAAAAATTGTCTCGCACAAGACAGTGAACCAACTTTCTTAGTAGCTGACCTAGCAATGAATTCAATATAATCTTTCCACAAAAATTGTAAGAATACTTAATTCTTATGCTGGTGAATATTGTAGTGGCAATATTTTGTAGATAATTATTTTTCTAGATACAAGTCTCACTATTTAACTCATAGTTGGAAGGAGAAGTGACAGATTTATATCTTTCACAATGGTATTTCCGCATAACTGAATGTAATTATCTCTATTGGAATTTATTTTAGTCTCTTTTTGTATATATATAAAATTTTATTTTGGTTTCATTGAAAATCCTTTTAAATTTCGTTTCTAACATCATCGAATGACTTTAGATAATATACATTACAAAAACAACACTGCTCTCTCTAAATATTTCTGCCAATTAAAGAATGGCGCTAATACACCTATTATTAACTGGGATATTGTAGCAAGAGCCAAATCTTACAATGGGAGAGGCAATAAATGTAATAAATATTTGCTTAAATACGTTGATCCAGATTAATTTTTAATGTAAATTATGGTTTGTTTTATTACTATTTTTTTTATTTAAAGAATAAGTTTACATATATATATACAATTCCAGTTTATTTTAAATGCCATTATATTTTTAAAAATTAAAAAAACTGTAATGCCAACATTACCATCTCTTCTCCATCCCCCAGATATGGGTTGAATAGCAGGACACAGTGGGTTCTTGGTAACCAGTCTACCACAGAAAGAAATGACAACCTACTGCGAGAAAAATCTTCTGTCTAGTCAGTCCTGAATCGAAAATGTATGATCGCCCAAACGTGTATCACGTATGACACTTAACCTTATATTTATTGTATTAAAAATACAATTTTGGCCTAAGACATTTATATATATATATATATATATTCCGAAGTGGGGTGAGGTCATCACTGACTATTCTAACCCTAACTGATCTGATTTGCGACTTATTCATTCATTACAATTTACTCTATCATCACAAGAATTCATTCATCACCCTTCATCTGACATACACCACAGTACCGCATATTCAAAGAGGCCCTACTAAAACATGCATGACGTTAAAATTACACAATATATACAAATGTCTTTTTCTTTTTTCGTCGTTTGTCTTATAAAAATATATGGTATGAAATGAGCGGGGAAAAGACGAATCCAATAACGAAAATAAAATATAATAAAACATTCAAACTAAAAAATAAAATGTGTTTATAGGACGCGTCTACACCACAGAAAAAAAATAAATATGGCTGCTGTATTCTGCCGATAGGCAATATCAAGACGCTCGCTCACTGAAAGAAAGAAAAAATTAAATTGTTGAGCGAAAAAACCAAAAGCTGACCCAATCAAGATAAAAAAAGAAAGGAAATAAAAAAAAAAGTTGGGAGGTTAGGAATCTTGACATGGATCATAATAAAAAATACCAAGCAGAGGCCGTGAACAACAATTAGTCACATTAACGAAAGGTAAACAAAAGGGTCTAGCTTAACCAGGGAAGGAGTCCGACAGGAAACCGCCCCGTTGTGTTAAAAAGGCGACTAAAAAAAGAAAATTAAGACTGGCCCCGTTCACGCGAACCAGGCTCACCGCTTTTACCCACTTTTCGTCGAAATCTTCCGGTAGCAAACTTAACTCCTTACAAAATAAATTAACCCAAAAATGAAATTACGGTTGTTTTTTAAATGAGCACAGTGTTTGTATATTTCCTTGGCTAGAAATCTCTTTCTATTTTTTGCATGCATATAGATTTGTATATAGACATTTTCGTCTATGAACAGCAACAAATAAAAAATCAGGCTTACGACCATATCTCGTTGAAACACCGGTTCCCGTACGATCGCCGAAGTTAAGCAACGTCGAGCCGGGTAACCGCTTGGGAAAACTAGGTGATGTAAGCTTGGATGTGAGGTTGGTGTAATGAATAATAGCTCGGAATTGTTAATCCGCGGGCCGAGTTCGATTCCACGGCGACATCACAAAGCAACATCGAGTCGAGTCAGTACCTAGATGGGTGACTGCTTGGAAATACCAGATGCTGTAAGTTTGGATGTGAGGGTGGTGTAATGGATAATGGCTCGGAATTGTTAATTAGCGGGTCGAGTTCCAATTCCACTTAGGTTCTTTATATTCACTTACAAGGAAATACCATTGGGAAAAGTATGGGTTAATTACTAAGACTTGTATCACTAAATCATTATTATCTCAAAAAAAAAAAAAATTCTCCATTATTATCTTCTCACTCCCCTCCTCCAAAAAAACCCTCTTGCAATCTAAAAATATTTCTTGCTTTAAATAACCTGCAATGGTTTGATAAGCCGTAGAAAATGAATCAGTCACTCAATAAATTAACAGGCATCTCTTGACGGACAGCAATCTGAATGCTATAATCCTATTATAATTATCCCTAGTTTGTTAGTTTGCACGACCGTTAAGCCCTGCCAATACCTCGTAAATAATAGACTATTCCGTTTTGATCGCGTGCAAAAAGTAGAAAAGACATTACTTGGTTTCAGTGAGAAAATGAAAGAAAGAAGAAAAAGAAGATAGAAGTTTAACGGCTGTTTTAGTGAAATGAAAAAAGTTGTCAATTTCAAATCTTTTCATTTCTACCCACTATTTAACATAACGACCCGCATTCATATCTATGGTCGTTATTGCAATATTTTGTTAAAGTTGTTAAGCTCAAATATTTAACGATGCGATAGGGGAATTTCTACAGATCTTACGAGTAATATCATTTATTAAGTTATAGGAAATAAATCCTATTTCCAACACAATTACATGCCCAAATACATACCATATTTAAACGCGCGTAAACTTTATTTTTTTTACGCAATAATAGAAAACATTGCAAACATACGAAAAAGATTTCTCAATACAACACACACCGTTTAAATCAAAGTTTCTATTGGCTGGAAATTAACATCACCATATTTGACCAATCACAGAAAACTAAAACCCTATTTTTTAGCCTACTTTTGGAAAAATAAATTCTTAAAAACTCCACAGATTTCGACTTTCAAGGATGAGATATCCGACTGTCTCCAAGCTGTGACTACATAGCCACCCACTCCAAATGCGTGAATGAAATGTGTCGGTGACTTTAAACGAATCAGCTACATTAAAATCAGTATGGACGGCCAGTCGGCGACTTCAAACGAATCAACTCCAACAACAAGAAGATACCGATAAAAGTCTTTTTTCAACTAGAGCTTTTTTTTCTTTCTGTAGACCAACTATTTAAAATTTTTTCTAAAATATTTTTTGTGAACTTTAACTCAACTAAAGACTATTTTTTAAATCCATTTTGAATTCATGTACCGTATATACTCGCGTAACATGCGACATTTTGAAGACCTAATTTTGAACCTAATTTACTACAGTAAATTGATTGATAGATAGTAAATTGATAGCTTGGTCAATGGCGTAGCCAGGGCCAGCAGTACATACGCTAATATCTCGCGTATGATGCAACCCCTTAAAATTAGCTTCAAAACTAGGTCTTCAAAAGTCGCATGCTATGCGAGTATATACGGTACATATGTTTGTAAATACAAATAATTTCTTTAACTACCCATGTTTTCTTTATTTTCATTTTATTATTGTTTGAAATTCGAACGTTTGGATTTTAATATCGGCTACGTGCTTTTTGTCCTCCTGATTACACTTTTCACTTCCCGCTCATTATTAATGCTTCTATTCCTAATTCTTCCACACCCTGTAAGCCCTGGTGTCCTCGTGGCTTTGCATGGGGTAAATCTGATTACCGATTACCCCCCCACCACCACCAAAAAAAAAAAAAAACCCTGGACGACTGAATTTCCTACAAAGTCCATAGTCCAAAGTCCAAATAAGAGAAGTAGTCGACACTCAAACAAAAAAGTATTGATTGATTTTACTTTTTACGGCTTCTAAACCCTTTGGGCGTTACTTATTTTTACTATTTTGGATATAAGAATTTTGTGTGGATTCGAGTGAATATTGTATTTACATTTTTTTAGAATAACAATTCAAATACATTTACTATTTAACCCATAGTTGGAGGGAGGCAATGGATTCATAGTTTTTCCAGTGCTATTTGTACGTAAGTGAATAATGACCCCAACTGGAATTCGAACACGCCTCTGTCGATATTCCGAGCCGCTATTCATTAACACCACCCGCACACCCACTCAATCACAAGTACAAGCAGGATTATGAATGATGATTTTCAAAGCAAAGCAAGTTTTCCGACTACTTGGAGGGAGGAATGATATATAAATAAAACAACTTGTTTTATTCCAAAGCGGATCATTAATCAAGGTTTGTTCAGGGCTGATGTATCATTTGACTTCACTTGAGGTTATTTTTGTTTTTTTGTTTGTTTTTGGGGGGGGCAAAATTGTTATTTACGTGTAGAAGGTAAATTACAACTTTGACTAAATCAAAAATGAAGATGAAAAGAGCCTTAGATGAAAAAAAAAAGAAAACAACATCAATCTTCTGTCTTTACTTTGATCAAAAATCGACCCAAATATTGTAGTAGTTAAAATAGTTTATCACTATCAGTCAAGTTCAATTTCCTCCAGTTATCGCCCGTGATCAAACGGTGAACGTTCCCTTTTCTTCGGCTCGTGCTTGACGCTTGTGGAATTCTTTACATAGCCAGCTCTTCACGGTAAGTAAATTCTTACGGACTTAACATTGCACGTTTTGGTACAACTAAAAAAATCATTTTAAATAAAACACTAGAAAGACTCATTACGCTGTTTACCATCCACGATTACTGCTGTTAAACAAGTGCTTTTGCACTGCACAACAATACATGATGACCATTTATTTATCCACTGATTTTTTTTTTTATTCTAAAGGGTAAATTGAAGTTAGAAGATAAGACTGAAAGGAAAGCTGTAAGGTTAAAAGTTTTAAAACTAAACATTGGAAAAGAAAACTAGTTAAAACTGCTCCCATATCCACACTCATAAAAAAGGTTAATTTATTTGTTTTTTTTTGTTTTTTGGGGTTTTTTTTTTGTACAGCTTTTCATTTTTGTAATTAAAAGTTAAACACCGACTCTTTTCAATTACGTTCTTGTCAGTTCGTTTTTTGTTTCTTGTGTAACACTTGGAACATTTTTTTTTTTATCCCTAAAGTTTTGTTTGAGGCAAACAAAACTTTCCTTTCTTTAAGTTTAAATTAAAAGAACTGTAAAAGATGTCTACCGGCTTTTTTATCGTCGCGACTTATGTTGGCTCCATAATTCCAAGCACTTGTGTTATTGCTTTCTTTTTTGTCAACTATTATTAACTTTTTAAAAACAAATAAAAATAATGACAACACTGTTATCAGCATTAGAAATTTGTGATTTTGTATGTTGTAGCGCCCCGATATCAATATTAAAAAATTTTAAATCGATGTTTTGCCTTAGTTTTAATTAGCTTATTTCTACTTGAAATGAAAATTTAATTTGCGAACTGAATTTTTACAAAATGGGACTACTTTTAAATTAATAAATTTCTCAGCTGAAGTATTGTAAAGTTTTAAAAAAAAATTTATGACTCGTCAAGTAATGTTCTTTATATTTTTTAATGTTTTTTTTTTTTTTTTTTTTTCAAAAACTTTTAACTAAAAATTATTTTCAGTAGATTTTTCCGTGTTGTTGAAAAAGTAAACAGGATTGGTTTTTAAAAAAGACATTTTATTTTAGCTACTAAAAATAGTTAATAAAGTGAAAAAAAAAAAAATAGGAGGAAGAATGTTACTTTCGCGCTATTGAGGCCAGTGTCTGGATTTTCAAAAACAAACTGACAAGTGACATTGAAAGTGCAAAGTTCATACTTCTTTGTCTCCAATTTATGGAGCACCCAGCGAGGATAGAACTCAATTACTTATGATCTCTAAGTTCAGCTTGTTGACCATTATTTACACCAGTGGATCTCAACCTTTTTTTACCCATGGACCCCTTTCCCCTTCTTTTTATCTTGGTGGACCCCTTCATAGCTATTGGACATAAGAACAATTTTTTATTCTTCACTAATATAAATTTTAAGGTTTTAAATTATCAAAGAAATAGTATACGATTAAGCTTTATTTTTAAATGAAAACTAATTTAAAATATTCTACTATAATTATAATAATAATTATTATTACTATTTTTAATTAACACAACAATTGAGTTTTGCCTGTGGACCCCCGGAAATATTACATGGACCCCTAGGGTCCATGTAGACCCCGGTTGAGAACCACTGATTTACACAGTGATGAGACACCCAAATTCTATTATTCCCTTGTGAGGTTTCCCCCGCTTTAAAATCGCTGCTGTGTCCCGCCACTCCAGCTTTGCACATAAAAGTTTTGGGGGAAGTGTTGTTGTTTAAGTTAACAATTCGGAGGGGTGTCGCGGTGTGGGGTAATTGTTCATGTATTGTAAATTGTAAAATCATTGGAACTAATCAACAAAAATTCAGAAACAGTCCGGTATTTATTATAATCCCTGATCAATGAAGATAATAAATAAAAATAAAACCAGTTTATGAAATATTTGGTGGGGTTCCTACAGAAACGCACCTCGTATAAGTTTTTTTTTTTTTTTTTCAAAAGGAAAGCACTCTAAATCACAGAATTGGTTTATTTTTTATATTTTTTTCGATTTTAAGAGGGCGAGGGAGTCTGTATGCTCTGCTATAGTATAAATTCATATTCCCTTACGCAAATACGTAAAATATTTTTACCAAGACTTTCTAATGAAAACAAATTGTAAAATCATTTCATCATTCATTTCTGAATAAGTCCTGAAAATTTCATTAAAATCCGACAATTATTTGATTTTTGCAAGAATTTCCAAATCAATGTGTCTGTCACCGCAAAAAAGTCGCTAAAATTCGCTTAAAGTACATCCGCTGACGCAAGAAAAACAAGATTTTTAATCAAAATTTTGAATGTTCTAAAAAGGAGGAAAAAAAATAATTCAAAAAATACTTTGATCTTTCCTCTTAACAAAGATTTTGACGATGGAACTATATTTTCATTACGGTATGCTGTTTTTTGTTTGTTTTTGTAGCGATTTCATTGAGGTACCCAAGTAAATTGAACCCCTCATTAGGTTTGTTTTTAAATGCCGAATACTGAGTGAAACTGTTTTGTTTTTTTTTCCAGTTCCAATAAAATTGAAAAAAAAATATTCAAGTCATGTTTTCTGGTTTGTTTGTTTTGTTTTTTTTTAACTGCAGCCATAACCTAGATCGAACTTAGAATTTAATTTTCTTATTTTAATTAGAGTTCACAAGTATGTAACATTATCGATCATCTAAAAATTTAGGGCAACGTCTTCTTATCAATCACTTGCACTTTTGCTACTAGTCAAAATGACAGCCATAAACTACTCAACTTGATTTCTTAAATCATGTTGTTTATTGTTTTAAGTTGAAGTTAAACTTTTTTTTCTGATTTAAAAAAAAATAACGACCAGATTAAGCTGTGTGTAAAAAAAAAAAAAAAAAAAAAAAGTCTAACACTTTGAGAAACTTGGAGTAGGATGGCACAAGGTCATTTTGTTCGATATCCAATGAGGACCGAATTTATTTTCAACATGGTCGAATTAATTGATCTGTCTGTGGTTATGAGCTTAAACATTGTTGTTTCTATAGAATTGAAATTTACCATCTCGTTAAACTGCACTTTTTCATTCAATATGTGTATTTTCAGTGCATCCACGTCGCAACCCAATATCAGTTTTTTTTGTTTAAAAAATGGGTATAAAACAATAGTAATACCGTGGAACAATTGCTCAAGCCCCCTCGGCACTTCCTCTTTTGGGAACGCCTCCGGCACTGGGCCATATAAATAAACTCAGCCCCCTCCTGAAGGAGAGGTATTGCCTGGGGGCATGATTCCCTGGGTTTTGAGATTCCTGGAAAAAATATGTCAGAAAAAAAAACACAAAAAAACAAAAACAAAACCGATGTATATTGAAGATCCCTTTTGGAATGTCATAATGTCGGAAATTGAAAATGAAATCATGTCAAGTTAACTTTTCTATATTTTTGTTGCTGTTGTTTTTTTTGTTGTTGTTTTTTTTGTTGTTTTTTTTTTTTTTTTTTTTTACTGGACTTTATTATCGTCTCGGTGACCTCATTTTATTTTTAAAGTTTAAAAATCTAATTTTTTCTTACAACACATTCGCTTTCTCTTTCATTTTTTTTAACCTATTTTCCGACCTTTTTGAAACCCTCCTTCATTAAATAAATACCCATGTAGTTTCTAAATGTCTGTTTTGCAAGATTTTGTTGAGTCGAAAAAGTAGTTCGTGGTTCGGATTGTGATAGAGAAACAGAAAATATTTACAATTGCCATTTTAATATTTTGAATATTTTCTGTTAGAATTAATTCCCCCCAAATAAAAAGAACTTATATTTACAATCACACCAAATTCTCCCATAGCGAGGCCCTTCCATTACAATCCGATTGGTTTGACCTTTGCGATCGCCCCAAATGTGAGCGACACGGGTGCGCTATTTCTAAATGTGGGGTCTAACATTTGCGCTCACCCCGATAAACAAATTCAAAAACAGATTTTTTTTCTTTATTTATTTTTTTAATTCCTTGTAAGTACCTCGAATATCATCCGTACTTACGAAATATGAATAATTCCGAGTTTTCAAAATTTTTCACTTTGATGGTTGTAGTTGTTAGAAGTGAGCTAAACAAATTTCGATTAAAAATTTATAATTCCAAGTGTGCCAAAAATTTAATTAAAAACAAACATTGATTTAAAATTTACAATCTCTTGGGGTGAATTAATATTTGCGATAAGTAACTTTACATTATTTGAAGTGAATTAAAAGAAAAGATTCAGCATTTTTAATAGTAAATACTATTCACCATTTATTTACTCACAGGATCTGCTGCCACCCACCGTCTCACATTTTCATCTTCAGGACAGGGGGTGTTGACACTAGAAGTGATTAGATATAGAAATTACAAATGGTTAGAAACAAAGAAAGGAGTAGTGGATTGTTATGTAATATCGGTCCTACCGTATAGCAGTGAATACTGGACAATTCCTTCGCAGACGAAGAAGAGAACTGAGGCAACACAAATGTGGTTCTACAGAAGGATTCTGAGGATTTCATGAACGGAGCGAGGAAGTCTTAAAGAAGATAATAAAAAAACAAAAAAACACTTATACTCAGAATCAGAAAGAGACAACTGAAATTCCTTGGACACATAATGAAGAAGAACGGCTTTGAAAACTTGATCCTCACGTGACATATTGAGAGAAAAGGAAATAGCGAACCTGACAAGCTGTGTGACTGGATAGGAGAACGGTTGTGGGAGTCTTGTCAAGTGAATAAGCGCTACTTAGTGCCACAAGGTAAAGGAAGTTGTAGAGAGCCAGGAAGCCCACGTCCTAAAGGGACACGGCACATAGATAACGAAATTTTTTTTTTATATTTACATAAGTAGTGATGTAATCGTTAACGCAGTTCATCGAAATAAGGGCTGCATAATTTATTGCGTTTTTTTTTTATTTTTGCTTTTTTTTTTTTTTGAGAGAGATTATCAAATTACTTTGAGATGTTTTTATCAGGCTGTTAACCATGTCTATGAGACAAGTACTTGTATTCTTTTAAGATCTTTATTATTATTGTTAATAATAATTGTAGTATCGTATGCAAA